CTCAAACACTTGCTACCTAGTCAATCCAAGCCATCACCCTGGTTCTGTAACCCCTGTTTCAGCATCTTCCATTTTCAATTTGGAAGCTTGCAGTTGGACTTGGTCAGAGAGTTCCATCCATCCTCAGAGCAAGATAAGCATTGGAATATGTTCAGGGAAGTTCAAGGAAGCTTAAACAATCACCAGGCCTCCATTAAAGTCCCTACATTACCCTACTCAATTCCAGCTGAAGGAGGTATTTTCTTAAACTCTATCTCTCTGAATAGGCAACTTTAAGCCACGATTTGTGAAGAAAAAATGTAGCTCTCATCATAACGAAGTTGTACATATCATTACTTTTCATTTATATTACTTGTGCTAAGAGAATTTGAAGATTGAAAACTCTGGAAAAAAATTAGGTCACGAATTAGGGGTTCAAAAATTCTCTTTGATCTTTAAGAGTTAGGTTACATAATTTATATGGTTGGAATCGTGAGCTCAAATGCCACATGTTTCATGTTATGAGTTTTTGTTTTTATGCAAGCATAAGCAAGGTACAGTTTGAACTGGAAAACGCGCGCAGGAAGCTGAACAAAGGACAGGGATGAAGTTCTGGGCTTTTTGGCGCCTTGGCCTTTTTGTTTTTGCTATTTGCACCCTCCTAATTTGCTACTGCATCCCCCTGACTTAACTATTTTATATTTTTGTATTTTTTTTATATTTTCACATTTAATAATTTTGTTTATTTTTTTCTGAATGATAAAAAATCCAAAAATGATTTCTTTATTTTTATACTTTTATTTTATTTTTTTTATCATTTTTTCACATAAAAAAATTAATTTATTTGAATAAGATAGAATTTATTTTTCTTAAATAACTTGTAAACATAATTAAAAATACTTAATATTTTTTATTATACATTTTATACTCATAAATACTTATTTTCTACACATATTTAATTTTTAATATTTACATACAATATTATCTATTATTTTCTTATACAAAAAATATACAAAATAATAATATGAAATATTATTTTCTTTGAATAAAAATTAAGGTTTCACCCCCTTTCAAAAAGAATTAATATATTTTTTCCTTATATTTTTAGGTTTAAATTAAATATTTTTCATATAAAAAAACAAGACATAAAAAATCTTTTCTTTTACATACATATTGCATTGCATCTTAAATATTTGTATTATTTATTAAATTCGCGCATATTCGATTTGGTTGTAATAATATATTTAGCTTTATATTTGTGCAAATCCCCATTCAAACTTGTATCCCCCCTCCCATAAAAATTGTTGTAATAGCTTAGTTTATTTTACGCAATTTATCGCTTTATATACTATGACTAGTAAATTAGGGTTTGCATGACAAGAACAAAAACAAAGCAAAAATAGAAAACCCTAAATGCAATACAAAAGCATGAAAATGATACACTTTGCACCCAAGCACCTTTAGGGTTTCTCCCACTTGGTGGCCTAAAATAAAATGACCATGTTACGCACGCGAAGTATCTTTGCAAAACAAAACAAATATAAGATCATAGTCCCTCGATGACACTATTCAAAGGTTTCCTAAAACAAAATGATCGTGGTCCCTAAAAAATGCTAAGATACTTGACAACATCGCTATCATGGTTATACGATGACTCACGCCCGTCCCGTTTACATCCAAAGATAGGGTTGCTTACCAAATCAATGGTAAGTCAACAATGTCAAAGGAATAGAAAATGCACAAGAAAGACATTTGAGTAGGTAGATAGCTTCTAAGTTACTTGCTCCATTTCAAAACAATCCTTGCTATTTTCAAAAACAAGCACACACACATTTCAAAACATCTTACAAAACATTGAAAACATTTTTAAAAGACAAACATCTTTGTATACATTCTTACGAACGAGAATCATTACAAAGATTGTCTAAACGAATGGCCTCTTTTCAAAATACTTTCAAAACCACACCAAACACCATTTCAAACAAAACAAAGCAAGTGATCTACACAAGTAACTAAGAGCCCATGGAAAACCATGGATGAAAAGGGTGCTAGCACCTTCCCTTTTCATAATCTACCCCCGAACTCAAGAAAACATCTCAAAGGTATTTCCTGTGCTTTTTTACCTTTTCTTTTGGATAAAAGAAAAGTCGATGGCGACTCTTGCTAACCGTGACATTTGCGACAAAACGCAAAACCCTCAAGTCAGTTCTCCCACCGCATCACAGTAACGAACTATTATCAGCAAGTTTTACCTTACTCTTCTTTTACTCGTCGAAATCTGCCAACCATACCTTTTGACCAGTCATGTGATTAGAGCAGCCAGAGTTATGTGATTCTACATGGTTATCTACAACTGCAGCCATAACCAACATACCTTCAGAATCGTCTGAATCTTAGCGTGTAAGGTTTACTCTTTCGTCCTTTCCTTTTGTCTTTCTTGTACCAATTCTGCTTGGCCAAGTGACCCCACTTTTCACAGTAATAACATTGAACACATTTTTTTCTTTTCTTCGTCTTTCTGATTGGAATTTCCTTCTCCTCTTTTCGAGGATTCAGAAGCCATGTCATCGACCTTATTCTTGTGGGAATTCAACTAAGACTTCTTGCCCCGAGTCTTGTCGAATTTTCCTTTGAATCTGTTGGAACTACCATTCTTTTTCCATGACTGAGCATGTAATGCTTGTATCGAGTCTTGAACTCCTTTCCTTTCGACAATCCTAAGCTTTTGTGCTTCCAACGAACCAACTAAATCTTCCGGTTTTAGGGTTTCAAGTTGATTGGATTCTTGAATAGCTACAATAACGTGATCAAAGTGAGAGGTCAACTTACACATTACCTTTTCAGCTATCATCTTATCAATCAAGACTTCACCATAATCCTTCATAAGATGGATGAGTTTATGTACATTCGACATATACTCTGCAATCTTTTCGTGGTCTCCCATTGACAATAATTCATATTGTCGAAGCAAGGTCTGCAAATTGACAACCTTGACTTTGTCACCTCCTTCATAGTACTTGACAAGAATATATCATGTCTCCTTCACCGGTTCAGCATGAGAGATCCTGTTGAAATTCCATGTATCAATCGTCGTTTCAATGCAATATGCAACCTTGCAATCCTTCTTCTTGGCTTCGTGTGGGAGGTTTTCTGTGTGTCGGTTGTATCTATAACCAGTGTAGGAACGCCACCAGTAACCACTTCTAAGATTTCATGAAAACCAAACAAAGATTGCATCTGTTTTCTCCATCGAAACGAATTCTTATCGTCAAGAGTTGGAAGAGAATTCAGAGTGTCATTAGTATCATTCATCTTCACAACGATTGATTGACAACAATTCATGATCCCAGAAAATATGATCTCTGACGTGTGATTCTTGACCACACGATCAAGAATCTAACCGAAAGTTGTATCAATTGCAACGGCTACAAACAGACAAGGATCTTCCAATTAAGGAAAGTGCATTAACTGTCAATTATCAAGTTTCATTTGGCATAAGATTGCTACGCCTATTTAAACAAGCAACAAGGCTAAATAAAGATTATATTATTAAATTATTATAAATAATGATACAAACTATGACTATTTATATACACCTAACTTATACATAAAATAGGCTAATAAACTCTAATTAGAGTTGAACTTAAATTACACAAGTTAAATTAAGTTTAATATCCCAGCAAATATCCTACCTAATGATTGACTAATCCAAAGATACCGTTCATTAAGACTTTCTTTAGTGAACTTTAAAAGTTTAAAGAAAAAGGAGGAGAGACTTTTGAAAAAAGGGAAGAATTTAAATAAAAAGAACACGAAGATTTTGATTATGAAGATTTACTTTTATTTATAACACCGAAAACTTCATAATTTGAAGAAATTCAAAATTTATATTGGAGGAAGATTTTGAAAGATCTTTAAAGGCTTAAACAAATTTCTCAAATATAATTTTTGCTTTAATATTTTAAAAATTAAAAATATATTGATGATACGCATTATTTTATCAATTTATATTTTCCAAAAAAAATATTAAAAAATTTTCTATATTTTTCAAAATCCTCTTTTCCCTTCCCTTCAAACTTCCAAACAAAATCTAAGAGAAGGTCTAATTAAAATCACACTAAAACTCAAGATAAAATGGACACTTTGAAGATTTGCCACGAGAGCTTGAGAGAAATACACTCGTAAGTCTTAAGTCTTTGCCACCAGACGAATACCTATCAATTGGGTAGTCTTTTAGTTAAAAACAAGTCAGTTCTACTTGAAAACACCCCCCCCCCCCCCCCCGCCCGAACCTAGTCAAGATAAGAGTGAATTTGGCTTTTTAGCAACCCAGCTCATTGGGTAGGTCAATGAGTTAACTTAATGAAGGGAGAGAAAAAGTAGGACAAGCATCATAGTCTCCAAGATAATAACGGATAAAAATGCATATGAATGAAACCCATTGTTTCTCCAGATCTCCCATCTATACATTTTAAAGAACTCGTATAATACCATTTTTCAAACATAAATTTCACAGAAAATGCAATAGTAATCATATTATAATAACAATGGAACATGCTCTGAAACTCTAAAGAAAATTCACAATCAACAACTACATATAAAAGTAGCGAGACGGAAGGTCCAAAGTCGATTAGTAGTGCAGATTAGAAGGAGATAAGATCATCTTTAGAAGATTGCTTCTTTGCCTGAATTTGGCTTTTTAGCAACCCAACTCATTGGGTAGGCCAATGAGTTAACTTAATGGAGGGAGAGAAAAAGTAGGACAAGCATCATAGTCTCCAAGATAATAACGGATAAAAATGCATATGAATGAAACCCATTGTTTCTCCAGATCTCCCATCTATACATTTTAAAGAACTCGTATAATACCATTTTTCAAACATAAATTTCACAGAAAATGCAATAGTAATCATATTATAATAACAATGGAACATGCTCTGAAACTCTGAAGAAAATTCACAATCAACAACTACGTATAAAAGTAGCGAGACGGAAGGTCCAAAGTCGATTAGTAGTGCAGATTAGAAGGAGATAAGATCATCTTTAGAAGATTGTTTCTTTGCCTGAATTTGGCTTTTTAGCAACCCAGCTCATTGGGTAGGCCAATGAGTTAACTTAATGGAGGGAGAGAAAAAGTAGGACAAGCAGCATAGTCTCCAAGATAATAACGGATAAAAATGCATATGAATGAAACCCATTGTTTCTCCAGATCTCCCATCTATACATTTTAAAGAACTCGTATAATACCATTTTTCAAACATAAATTTCACAGAAAATGCAATAGTAATCATATTATAATAACGATGGAACATGCTCTGAAACTCTGAAGAAAATTCACAATCAACAACTACGTATAAAAGTAGCGAGACGGAAGGTCCAAAGTCGATTAGTAGTGCAGATTAGAAGGAGATAAGATCATCTTTAGAAGATTGCTTTTTTGCCTGAATTTGGCTTTTTAGCAACCCAGCTCATTGGGTAGGCCAATGAGTTAACTTAATGGAGGGAGAGAAAAAGTAGGACAAGCATCATAGTCTCCAAGATAATAACGGATAAAAATGCATATGAATGAAACCCATTGTTTCTCCAGATCTCCCATCTATACATTTTAAAGAACTCGTATAATACCATTTTTCAAACATAAATTTCACAAAAAATGCAATAGTAATCATATTATAATAACAATGGAACATGCTCTGAAACTCTGAAGAAAATTCACTATCAACAACTACGTATAAAAGTAGCGAGACGGAAGGTCCAAAGTCGATTAGTAGTGCAGATTAGAAGTAGATAAGATCATCTTTAGAAGATTGCTTCTTTGCCTGAATTTGGCTTTTTAGCAACCCAGCTCATTGGGTAGGCCAATGAGTTAACTTAATGGAGGGAGAGAAAAAGTAGGACAAGCATCATAGTCTCCAAGATAATAACGGATAAAAATGCATATGAATGAAACCCATTGTTTCTCCAGATCTCCCATCTATACATTTTAAAGAACTCGTATAATACCATTTTTCAAACATAAATTTCACAGAAAATGCAATAGTAATCATATTATAATAACAATGGAACATGCTCTGAAACTCTGAAGAAAATTCACAATCAACAACTACGTATAAAAGTAGCGAGACGGAAGGTCCAAAGTCGATTAGTAGTGCAGATTAGAAGGAGATAAGATCATCTTTAGAAGATTGCTTCTTTGCCTCATGTCCTCCACCTGATGCATCCCCAACTTTACTCCCAAAAATCATCTCATCAAGATCATCCATCATGTCGTCGTTGTTTCCTCCCTGGACACCAGGTCTTGAACCAGCTGGTTTTCTAATCAGGGAGTCATCTTTAGTATCAAGATGATGAGGTGACTCATCTGGCTCAACAGCAACAGGTATCATAGCTGGTTCAGGTTGAAGAGGGGCAACTGGAGGTGGTTTCAACTCTTCATACTTGGTAAGAACCTTCAGAATCTCATCATTAACATTCAAGGCCTCAAAAAGAAGTGCTTCATTGTCCCCAGCAGTTTCGACAATCCGCTGGACAGTAGTTTGGGAGCGACGACACTGCTGTACAAGTGTGCTGGTCAAATCATCCTGGAGACGAGAGAAAAAAAAAACACTTTTATATTTTACTAATTCAAAGATGCATGATACAATATGCTTCTTCCCTAACATGGAACATTCCCTGGCTAAGAATAATTCCTTATTAAGGGGGGTTTCCCAGTAACAAGTAATACGAAACAATTTTCATTCTGAGAGGGGGCGATGAATTTACACAAACTATACAAGACCGTGTCCTTTAGGTATTCTGCAAAGTCAATAGTAAAATGTCGAACATTCTCATTGACAATTAAATGATGCTCTTAGCCTGTAAATAGTCCAATGACCCAACCATTATAATAGTTATAACATCACAAAACTTGAGCGGAGAATATGGTCAATATACTTTACGACTGCCAAGGGGATATACCAAGGATATGTTGGGGGAAGGGGATTATGCAGCGCTTATAGTGGCCACGTTTTCCATTGCTTGAGAGATTCATAAAGTAAGTAGTGTGTGGGAAATTTTATGAAACTACTCAAAAGTCAAAACCCTATTCTATTTTACTCGTTTTTTTGGAGTTTCAAGAATTAGAGGGGTTTTGGCTTGCAAACTGGTCAGTCTATTCTTTGTTTCCCTTTCTTTTCATCCCTTCTTCCCAATTCCCAAACCCTTCCATTGTTTTTCCTCCCACCCAACTCCTAAACAAACCCTAAAAACACACAAGGGCAAAAATAGTTGTCATAACCGAGGCAACAGACAGGCTACACCTCATGCCTACACCTATTAATTTAAAATCAAACCATGTTAATCCCCAACAAAAACATTCCGGTTTAAAAGATTCAAAATCAAGCAAACTCATAACACATGCAACTAGTAATACAACAGAACAACTAAAAAAAAAGAAACCTCCAAAACATCTTGTTGCGGCGAAGATGATAACACAGTCGAAAGAAGTTCAATGCTATTTCTCGCAACATCAAAGGCTTCCTTTGTCTGTTCCGGCGTAAAATCCTGCAGAGTAACATCCCGCTGAAACTGGTGTGGAAGATCACCCACATGAGGCAGCTCCGGTACAGAAGCTGACCGCGGAGGAGTGAAAATCGGAGCCAGGCTTTCATTATCACGACCAGGAAACCTAATACCCCTCGATCTCAAACTCTGCAATAACAACAAAAATTCATCCTCACAAACAATTACCATGAATAATAGAAATTCAATAAATTCAAATAGCACATAACACTATTTGCATCCTATGAAGCAGAGACACCCTCAAACACACCTTTTTTTCCAGAGGTATGAGTGCTACATAGTTTGCATCTACTAAATTTGTATCAAAGTTATAAACATCATTAGCGAAATAGAAAAACGAACCTTATAGGTTTCTTCATAAACAGGTAGATACCGAAGTTCACCAGTGGACTCACCCCAAGCTTCAATCATCATCAAAGCTTTATTCCGATTATTAACAACAGTTTGAGGATCATCAATAAGTCTCACCATCTCATCAAGCACTCTCTCAGCAGCAAGTTCAGAAAACGCTTTTTCACAATTCTTAACAATAGTTTCAATCAAAACCAAAGCCAAATACTGAACCCTAGGGCTTTTAATCACGATCCGTTTCTTGATTCCACGGATCAATTCAATACTATTAACTTTCTCGGTGTTAACTAGGTCACATAGATCAAGATTCATAGCCCAATCAGGCTCTTCGTGTGCCTCCGATGTTGCGTCTTCAACGAGCTTATCGACTTGGTTCGGACCTTGGAAGAATTCCTTCACCTTGAAACTCATCGACGTCATTCCTTCCGTCATCTTCCGGCCAACTTCTACGCCGCCGATTTTCAACTTTTCGCCGAACGCGTTCACTTTTTCCATCAAATTGTCACTCATTTTCTTCTTCTTTTCAGTTTCGAATTTCGATGTAAGCAAAAACAAGAATCGGAAAAACGAAGTTGGATTGGAATTGAAGAATTGAAGGTTGGAGAAACTAGAAAGAGAAGGGTTTGGTGTAAAGTAGAAAAAACGCGTAACGGCGTATGAACTCAGTTAAGTCTTGGAGAATAGTCTCTCTTCTCTTTCCTTAACTATGCCTTTTCTCTTTTCTTTTTTTTTTTCTTTTTTCTTTTCAGTTGTTAAAATAAAGATTCTTATTTTAAACTGCAATATTAAAAAAAAAAATTTAATAGAGATTAAACTTAAAATTCATAATTTTGTAGTAATTAAAAATATATTTAAATTTTTTACTTATTTAGATAGATAAGTATCATATTATAATTTATTAAAACAAACATATTTTTGTTTATTTTCATAAAAATCTTCATTAAAAAATTATTTAGTTAATACAGTTTAGTTGATAGTTGTACAATGACATTAAATAGAGAGATAAATATTTTTTTTTAAAATATAAACTTCAACCACTATATTACTTGACCAATAACACAAGAGTAAAGTCTATTTTTAACTAAATTTTTCTCCAATTAAAATGAAAGACTATCTCAATAGCTCTAATAATAATCCAAAAAAACTCAACATGGAAAAAAGAAACAAAGTCCACCAATTCAACCAACCCATAAACAAAATCACCATGGAAATTTTTGAACAAATCTCCACAAGAAGCCAAATAAAAAGAGATGGAATCATCATTGTTGCACTTGAGCCAGTCACAAGACATAGATTGGCATGATCAAATTTTATTGAGAATCCTCACTCTACAAATCGATTTTGTAGGTTGAGTTAAACCCAACCATATTTTGTTAACATGGTATCAGATCCTGGTTCAAGATTCGGTGGGCCACCTGTTATCAAATTTCCGCTACCAGACCAGTCACCATTTATTCTACGCTTCAGATGTCAAGTCGTGGACGTGAGAGAGTGTGTTAAGAGTTTCACATCAGATGATGGTAGATCTTGTATTGGGGTCTACTTTAAAACATGACAAGAAGAATATGAAGATAGTATGATGAAAGTTGTACAAAATAAATTCCAAACCGCATGTTTATACTAAGATTTAGGTTCGATTCGCCCCACTAATTTAGGCAAATTGAATTCAAATGAGTTGTCCAGGGAATCCTCTCCAGGATACTCAATTTAAAAACCTTAACATGAATCGCACATTCACATTAAACATATCAATCAATAATAGTTTACAGAATAAAATTCTCTCATTTATTCTAGTGCACTAGAATAATAAAAAATAAATAAAACCATAAAAATACTTCCAACAAGATTTAAACTAAGGACGTCAACATTATCAGATACCATTTCAACCATTAGGCTATTGTTTCTTCAATGACTTATTTGTCAAAACATAATATTAATTATATTTTGGAAATTCTCCAACAATCCCCCACTATTTTCAAAGTATATCTAAATCCATTATTCAGATAATTTCATGGTTTCAAATAAAGGTATTTTACGATTTGAACCATTACATAGTAAGTTAAGTTTTTACTCATCCTCGAATATATTGGTAGATAGGCTTTGAACCAATTATTCATTAGAACAAGCGTACATAACTCACACATGAAATCTCGGTATCATTCATCGGATTATCAATATGACAGATTTAGTAAGGTCTTGTGTCTCATATCCTTTTCATAAGAATTTAAGAGTCAAACCCTTGAACTCTATGAAGCGACGTTACTTTATTCTCATTTAGGTAGACTATATCTGAAATGCACTCATAATTATGCATTTCAGAAAACATATGTTATATGTCTATTAAAAGGAAAATGCCATCCTAACACATTTATTCTTATGCTCCAAGTAATTTTATTACTTGGGATGCATCTATTGTCAAGTACTTGAATCACTCTAATAATGTACTTTCATCATTGAACTCTAGATTTAATGTTAATCAAGTGTGGGTTGAGTTTTCAGTATTGATTATTAATTAGATATGGACTTGTTCCACATCCCTAATAATATCTTCATTGTCTTCAATCATATTCAAAGACATATCATATCTTTGTCAATCATTTCATCAAAGAATTGTAAGCTTTTCCAACTTTAATAAACTTTGAATACTTAATATTTCAAATAGTCATGTCTATGAATATTTTATGTACTCTTGATAACATTTATTAATTATCATCAAACCACGAAACTTTTATCATATTAGTACAATTATCATATACAAAACATATTATATATTCTTGAAAGTTTTGAAAAACTATCACCATGACACTTTTGTCATTCATTGTGTCATATACACAAATTTTATGTCATTCTTAATTTACCGACACTTTTAATTTGAAATTTTACTTTCATTTAAATATACCTAAAATATATTTAATACTTTTAACATTTATAACAATCGACAACCATGATCTTACAAATTTGTCATGACTTTTATTCCATGAACTAAGTTCAAACATATAATTCATAAACTCCATATAAATACATCACCATAGAATTTATTTCTATTTGTTTAAAATAAAAAAAAATCTTGCATAACTAACCTATGTATAACAAATTCTATGTGCTAAATTCATGTTTCAAATTTAACAATGTTATATGGAAAATCAAAATAAAAATCACAATACAAAATAAACAATGAATTCAGGTCATTAATATTTTCTATAACTTTTTTTCATAAATATTTGTCAAATAACAATAATATGAAATATACTCAAATTACTTTTAATATCAAGATGAACAAGAAATATTACTTTCATATATGATACACATATAATTAGGGGTGTTCAAAATCAAACCGGCTCAATAGAAAACCGCAAAACCGAACTGAACCAAACCGAAATCGCAAAAAACCGCATTTGATTCGGATGCATTTGGATCATTTTCTCACGGAACCGCGCGGTTCGGTTCGGTTTGCGGTTTGTATTTTACAAACCGAACCAAACCAAATAAAACCACATTATGTTATAAAATCTTACTAACCAATATATATTTCTTTAATTCTTTAGAGAAATCAACATGTATTATGTTTATATTTTATCATACTTTGTATTATATTTATTTTAATTTATAAATCATAAAAAAATAAAATATTATTCATTTATAAATACTATTTTCACAAAATATATTTTATTGTATTCTTCGTATAATATTTATTTAAGAATGCAATCTTGTCTATATTATTCTTTAGATTTAGATAAAATTATAATACGTAATTTTATGTATTAAATTATAAATTTATTTTGACAATTATAAATTTTTTTATGGTAATGTATGAATAATTAAACGCAAAATTATATTTTCCTCTATATTTATATGTATGGCTTAATAATTTTTTTTTGTAAAAAACTGAACCAACCGAACCAATTTAAACCGCATTAACTTGGTTTGGTTTGGTTCGGATTTATTTTTAAAATTCAACCGAACCAAACCAAACCGCATGTTTTTTTCTCTTGCGGATCGGGTGATTTTTTGCTTTAAAACCGTCCAAACCGCACCGCGAACACCCCTGCATATAATATGAGATAAATCATTTTAAATTTAATAGATTCTTTCACAAAGTAAAATACAATTTAAACATGTATTTGATATTTTTAATATTTTATTTACATCATTTTATGTTACCAATACATACATCATAAATTTAAATTCATGAATTTTTTACCAAATCATTTCATCCAAAAACAACGCATTTTTTAAATTAAAATAAATTATTTGCATCAAAAAATAATATTTAACATGTATTTTACATTCAAGTATATATCATAAAAAAATATATTCTTAATTATTCTAATTCACATACTTGAATAATTTATAAATCATGCCTATATAAATTTATTCCACATGTTAAACTTAACATAAATAAATATTATTTTCAACTTATTTTACAAAGATTTAGAATATCATATAACATATATTTATTTAAAATAATTATATATCTTTCACCGGGATTACGAATAAGCAAACATGTAAGTTTATCTCTCCATCAAAGTTTCAACCACAAATTAATCACAAAATCATAAATCAAAATTCCATAACTTTAAAAATTATATAAATTAATTGTGTATCTTTCACCATCATTGTAAGTTGTTATCATCTTCTTTGAAGTTGCATACTTCAATAATAATTATATAAACAAAGTTGGATCAAAATTGAAAATCAAACCTAAAGATGGTTAGATATAATTTTTACCACTTGAAATATATAATTTTCGTATGTATTTTATGCCTTACAAATAACTCTATTTATAGAAAAACTTGAACTAATAGGTGAGAAGAAACAATGTTTCAATTATTTGAAGATGACCATTTAGAAAAAGTGTTATATAGAAAAACTTAAACCAATTGGTGAAAAGAAACCATGTTTCAATTATTTGAAGATGACCATTCAAAAAAAGTGTTATATTTACAAAGGTCAAAAATTATATTAAATGTCTCATGTTCCACACGAATTTCTTTTGCAATAATTTTACTGCTTAAAATATAAACATATAAACAAATAAAAGTATAAAATACTCTGAACCATATTTGAACCAAGAACATCAAGATTATCAAAAATCATTTTAATCATTAGGTTATTGTTTCCTCAATGACTTCTTTGTCAAAACATATATTAATTATATTTTGAAAGTTCTCCAACAGGTAATATATGACCGCTTATAAGTGAAGACAATTTTCACTCTATAAACCGGTTTTGTAAGATTGAATTATAGCTCTTTTGTTTTGTCTTTTTTTTAAAATAATTTTTATAATGTAACAGATTTTTGTGTAAAAATATTTTTAAAGAAACTTTTTCATAAAAGTTTCAAATTAAAATTGATTTGAATAGTTATTCTTAAAATGTTATTTTAGGAATTTCTTTCTTTTATCAAAACTTTTTTTGAATATCAAAATTTAAAAAAAATCACTTAATTTTAAATCTATTTCAAATGATTTTTCATAAAAATTATTTTTAAAATATAATATTTTAAAAAA